TTTTCAAGAAAGAGCAAAAAATCACCCCATACCCTTCCAGGCCCGTATTCATTTCTCCAATCCCTGTCAGGGGTGTCTGAAATTATTCTGTTGGATAAGACCGTTTTTAGCTTGAGTTCTTGACCTGGAGTTGCTTGTTAAAATTTGAATGGCCCTGAAAAGAGTAACAGTATCAGTTAACAACACCTGATCTGCAATGAGACAGACAAAAATGCATGCCCCATCTCTTTGGGGAAAAGTCCAAAGCATGAAACACTACCCAGGTATCCAGGTGGAGTGAATTTCAGAGAGCAGAAAAATGGGCGTGAGATGGAGAAGGGAGGAAACAACCCTTCCCCCCAAATTTGCCAGTGTTCCCTTATGCTTGGATGATGCCTGTCTGTATGTTAGTTGCTAAGTTGTGTCTGACCTTTGTGACCCCATGGACTGTGGCCTGCCAGGCTGCTCTGTCCATAGAATTCTTCAGGCAGCAATAAGGGAGTGGGTTGCCATTTTCTTCTCCAGGGGATCTTCCCGACCCAGGGATTGAACCCTGGCCTCCAGCACTGCAGGCACGCTTTACCCTCTGAGCCACCAGGGAAGATAGCTATCTAATAAATTACAAATACCTTCTCAATCTTGGCTGCACTATGAGACTAGGAACCCTGACTTAAACCCCTTTGATTAAAATAGTACAGCAATGCCTATCAAAATGGTATATAGCAAAGGCTCAGTAAATGTCGGTAACTTAAGTTCCAGTCTCCCCAGACTCATTCTTAAAGCTGTGCTCAGCAACAGTCATTTAAGGATGCCTAATCTTCCTCAAATCCTCTATGGTAGTGTCTAACTAGGTAGACAAATCATCACAAACTTCTAGGTCCTAAAGGTCTTTATCAGCTGACTCTTTTCTATCTAGTTACCTTTCCTCACAACCACACAAACATAGGTGATTTGATGAATTTATTGCCACACTTCTATCTCATGTCCATGAAAGTTTCTTTTCCCCTGACTCAAATATTTTCTTGTCTTTTTATAAAAATAAATTTTAAAGTCATCATAGTTATTATGGAGAGGGATGTGTGTTTTTTCCGACTCTCCATTGTACTTTTATGATTCAAAGTAGAAAAAAAAACTGTTTTAATTAGAAACAACTGTGTCAACTCCCAATCATATCTACTACTTTATAAATGGACTCTAAAATCCAGAAATACAATTGTAAATGATAATAAAGAGCTGAAAATGGAGAGACAGATCTAGAACCTAAAAGTTCTAGTAAAAAAAAAAAAAAAAAAATAAAAAAATAAAAAGTTCTAGTACTTAGCAAAATGACAGTTTAACATAAAGCAATGAAATTTGTAAAGTATTTACAATGTGGTTAGCATTTCTAAAAACACTGTATTCCTACCCTTTGACAAAATATTTAACATCACCAATTACCATCTTAAGTTTTAAACTGTCCATGTCATAATCATTTGATTTAAGAAGCTAGAATAACTACCATTATTCTGAAATCATAAATTATGGACATTTTGAAATAATTACAGGTTTCATATTTCTGTGTACTTTAAACTTTCAATATTATTGAAATGAATTACTTATTCTAATATTAATAATTCCCACTAACATCTAAGTGCAACATACAAAATGTTTTAAAATATAAAATAATTCACAATAATTATGAAGCCATAGAATTACAGTTGGAAAGAATATCACTCCTCTTAAGTGATACATGCTGGTAAGTATTTAACAATTAGATGAGTATAGGAAAGCATCTGATATGCAGTATTTTCCAAGTTTTATAGTGCAAATACTTTCCCGAATTTCATGTTACCAACATGAAGTCAGGGGTCACAGAGTTAGAAAGATAAGCATACAGTCAGCTCTTGTGAGCCCATCCAAGTCGGCTCTGGCACATCCTAAATATGCAAAAACAGTGTAGCCTTTTCATTCCTGAAGCGTTTTCATAGACTGACCATTGCTTTACAACCCACTGTACCCTGAACACTTACTGACTTAACACCCATACGTTATCATGCTTACACGTTTACCGACCAACTACTATACTGATTCTGGATACCTAAAACACAGTGGTAAACGAATTTTACCTCATAATGCGCCCTGTGTGCTGTGCTTAGTTGCTTGGTCATGTCCGACCCTGTAACCCCATGGACTGCAGCCCGCCAGGCTCCTCTGTCTGTGGGGGTTCTACAGGCAAGAATACTGGAGTGGGTTGCCATTTCCTCCTCCAGGGCATAACGCACCCTATGTACACACATATGTGAGTTTAGGTACACACACACATGTACACATATACATGAGTTTAGGTACACACACACACACACACAAAACCCCAGAAGCCTCACAAGATAAAACACACTCTTCCTATATGCAATGCACAGAATTTTCTGTTCTCTTCTATTTCATTTTTAAAATCTGACCTTGATCCATTAAATTGGATTCACAATGCCACTATTTCAGAAGAGGCCCCCAAATTGAGGAAACGTGTTCTACTAGACGCTAAGCTCACTGAAGATAGGATTAAATGTCTCTTGTCTGTGTCTAGCCATGTGACTAGCAGTAACTACTGAGGCCCAAGAAGGTTTAGTGACTGCCCAGAGGTGAATCTGAGTCTGCCAACTTTGTTAAAATAGCCCTCGAGGCAAGTGATAATTCATTACACAGAATCAGTATATTCACGGCTCAACATGGAAAGCTAGAGGGTCTTCTAAGACAGCCACTCCTTCATCAGAAATTCACAGAAATGTTTTTTTTATAATTGTACGAAAGCCGTCGATGTTGGAACTCTGGCCCTTTACCCTCTGTGGCCTTATGGCCAGCCCGGCCTGTCCGCCTAGGATGACTAAGCAAATCTGAGCGGGCAGCATTTCCCTTTTACTGATAATGTTCACCCCTAAAAAGTGTTGACAAGACACCTATCTTTTTCACAAAACATTTCCAGTCCTCTAGGGAGGGAACCTGTACAAATGCTGATAAAATTAAATATATAATACAGAACATATATACTCGCATATATAACACCAGCTTTCCAATAACCAGGAGCCAAAGGTCTAACTGGAGAAAATGCGCACTCAGGAAATAAAGTCAGGACCCACGGCCTTTCTCCTCAGCGTGCCCAGGCACCACATTCCTTTTTGTGGGTGCTATTAAATGTACACTATAGTTTCAAGACAATCCAGATAAGTATCTTCACTGAAATACACAGCACCATTAATCATCTCAGTGACAGTGCTCCAATTTAACATCTTGGGGACTTCCTCCCCTTCTTCATCATTTGTTTGCCAATATTTCCTTGTTATGAATATCCCCCTGGTGACTTTCCCTGGCAGTCACAGCTGTGCTGCCTACTGTGTCTACCTTGACTACAAATAACACCAATTCTTAAAAGAGCAAGCCCTTCCGACGACACTTCCGGTTCGAAGAGAAGCCTGGCTACGGACTGAATTCCCGGAGACTCCATCCACACTCTCGCGAGTTTTAACTGATAAACCTCAGCCTCTAAATAGATAGGGATGTTAGATACGTGATGCTGGCCTAATTATAAATGAACAACAGTTGGCTGAATGGTCAACAATCCACTGCTGCCTTATATGGTCCTTAAAGGACCCCCTTCTTCTACAGCAAAAGGCTTTCTCCAAAGTAGCCACAGATCACAACAGAGCCACAAAATCACTTAACAAATTACAGAAACCCGACTACCAAGAGCCTCAGTAATTATGACTCACAGATAATCAGAATTTTCCCCAAAAATACCATCAGAAACAATTCTGCATTGTAATTACACTAATTCTGATGAAGATAATAACACCATTTAGGCAAAAGAATATCAAGAAATAAAGCCAGAGAAAAGTTGCAAAGACACAAGAGTCCCAGTGACATCCAGTATCTACTTTGTGTCCACTTCAGAGAGCAGCTTCCACACTCTCCAGGATTTCTTGATCTTTTATAAAATGGAAACCATGAAAAAAAAAAAAAAACACTCCACAACCAACTGAAGAAGGAAATAAAAGCAGAACTCACCAGCTTGTATTCAGATAGGAGGTTTAAGGAAAAAGGGTACTTTTTTCAATAATAAAACTCTACTGCAAAAGAAGAGTCTGAAGACAGAAACACACCAAAGTAGATTTGCAAAGTATATCCAGAAAGGCGAATGTCGTCAGTGAAACTGTGTTTACCTTACTTCACATTTTCTATAGGGAGGTTTGATTAATTAAAAGTTAATGTTGCTTCTATCAATATTTCATCACTTTTCTGGAAAGCTTTTTTTTTTTCAGTTTTGGGAAGACATCAATTTAGACTATTGTGTTAGACAAACAAAACCCCAGAAGGCTTACCAGTCAACCTAAGATACATTAAAATGCTTTTTCTCCCCAGAGCAGAGTGTTTACTTCAGCAATAGTAACAACCCCTCGTTACCAACCATGCAGATTCTGTTAAGTAATGGACAAAGCGAATGGCAGCAAAGGCAAAGGACTCAACTTCAATTTAACTGTCCTGTAAGGTACATAGTAATTAGCTGCAAAGCTCTGAAATCTTAGCTAGCATGTTAAGTCTGCTACATGACAGTATAATTTGACTTCTTAAAGGATTATGCAAATTACAACTCATCATTCCATTACAGGATTGAAAAAAAGTGACAGCTAATTTATACATAACACACCTTTCAAATCCCTAAGATGCGTAGCACCTGTGCAATGTATTTTGCCGAGATTTTCTTGCATATAAGTACTTGTTTATTGCAATATAAAGAAGCTTACCTAAGAGCTTTAATATAGTCATTTTAAAAAAGAACTTTTAGACCACAATTTCAGAAGAATAAACATTTTTTTTCTGTCTTGATTTCAGAGGCAAAAATTTTTGGTTGTTTTTGTTTGGTTTGGTTTGTTTTTCCCCGCTAAATTAGAGAACTATAAGGTTTCAATACAAGGATATTTTTGAATAGCTGGCAACCACAAGCACTGATGCACGAGCCAGAAGGAAGACTCACAAAGATTTCAACATACTTCTGGTAGGTAGATTCACAGTAGATTCCGTCATATCTGTAGATTTTCCTACATTCTGATTGGTTGGGCAGAGGATGCTGGGCAGTTATT